AATTCGTTCTTATTGCGAAATAGGAGCACTATTTATCAATCTGTAATAAAAGACGTGAGGAAATTCTGTCTTTTTCAACGACAAAAATTTTTGAGGCGAAATACCCAAAAATAAGTTTGTAAAAAAATATCAAAATTTACTATTTTCAAAATGAATTTCCCTTTCACGGGTCCTGTGTAGGTGGCGTTGAGCGACCCTACCACCTCGAAGCAGTCTGGAAAATCGCATCCCCCGCCAAGAGCGAAGCTCAACTCGGAAAAAGACTTCAGCGGCTTGACCATCGGCTCGAAAAAGTCCCGTGAAGTGCACTCAGAGGGCGAGACGTTGTCTGATGAGGAGTCGAAGGATGGCGAAATTCTGTCGGCCGTCTCGCGATTGAAAAAGGTTTCCATGCGAAAATTCAAGGAGTGGAAGTCCTGACTAAGCGAATAGGCGCCAACTTTAGAGCTTATCACACTGTCGTAGGAGCCTTTTCTTTTAGTCACTGTTTATTTATGTGGTTCATTATAGCCGTTTGGTGCTACCAACTGATATTGATTGAGCAAGATTTTGCGCTTTCCACGAATACAGTCCAGCAAAAACGATCTTCAAAAATGATATTATGTGAAAAGAGGCAGGCTTTGCGGGCAATGCTCGAAACTGGTGAGTTTTTCGGGCTTTTAGGCTGTTGCGGTTCAGAGGTGCAAAAGCCTGAAGAACTCAGCAGTGATATTATGCAATTACGAGGGATCCTCCAAAAAGGGCCAGATTATAAACGATCAATTTGCTTCTTTTTTACCATTTATCGAGACACTTTAAAACAAAAACCCCACTAATTGTTTCCCATTTCTAGTTAAGTTTGTACTTTATCGACTAATTGTTTCGTATTTTATAAATGTATAAAATAGTTATTATATGAACACACTAAGAAACTACAACAAATAAATATTATATTAATATTTGGATTATGAAAACCTATAGAGTTAACAGAAATATATATATTTAAAGTAACTTTTCGCACTTGTACTTATCTTAAGTAAGGCGTGAACTATTGTTAAGATGGAAATTATTTATTTATTATGGACACAGCCAGGGGTGGTCTGGCCGTTCAAGCAGATCGCATTGCTGTGTTCAATTAACTGTTGTTTATTTTATATAAAGTATCTTTACCGATAGGTCTATTTAAGAAGTTGGCAGTAAACTAGCAAGAGTTTCCCATAGAATAAGGCTCTTATCCTGTTATCATATCGCATGTTTCGTTTTACTGAACTAATGCAATTGGCTTAATTTCATAAGCGATTGGTTTGGTGAGGAGCAATATCACTCTTTATATGACCACTTTATCCTTCTTTGTATACGAACTGTTTAACCACACAATTTTAAAACAATTATAAAGTGAACTTGACTAATTTGTATGATTGCTACTCTATTGTATAATTCAGTACAAAATAAATTGTTTTTATGACATATGTAAAAAGGGTGCGTCTTGAAAATCCAACGTATTAATTTATGAAATTAATGTGAAACCATAACAAAAGCAGTAAAGAATTCATTAGTATAAATAATACTTTTCAAATAGGACAAACTAAAACCCAAAATGAAGCCAAACAAACCCGAATTTGTAACCAAAAAACCCAAAAAATGCAGTAAAATCGACCCAATCCAACGTTAAATGTTCAAAGGTTTTACTATTCTCAATTACTATATTCAGAATTTTCAACACTCTAGAATATTTACCAGAAGGAGTAGGACTAGGAAAAATCCTCAAATCAATCATCCAAGCATTTAGTCATTTTTTAAACTAAATGTGCTGTACTATGGAACGATTCAATCCAATCAAGTCTTGCCTTTATCTTAACTGACCCCAGATGGACATATTCCTTAAATAACACTTCCTAATGGCTAATTTCATCAAATGTGGTGTGAACGTGAACGCCATTCTGGTACAGTTTGGTTTAGAATACAACGTAATTGGCGAAGCTCTAATTCTTTTAATTAATTTAATTAATAGCATTTTCTGGTTGCGTATAGAGCCCCAAAAGCTCTTATTCCGCGTGAGGGCAATGTGATGCGTAAAATGTTTCTCTGCCGATTTAAAGCGCTCCCCCATGATGTAAAGCAGTACTTTGCGCGCGTGTGGTGTCATGAGATAAGGCGATTGTTGCTAAAAAGCAAATAGGGATTTATTTTGTCAGGCAGTTTACCGAACCCGAGTGTTTCAATTTGTTGTGTTCTTTGCAATTTAAGTCGTTCTTCTCTAAAACTCATTTAAAAAATGTTGGAAAATGTTAATTTTTTTGCACTGGTAGGAGGGAAAAGTCTGTTTAGCGATCAGCACCGGACTATATAAGATGTTGTTCCCCATCCTGCATCTTCTGAACTACACATAGATATTAATAATCAAATAGAAGGAACCGATAAGCAGGTTATATAGTTGAACTGAACGCGGCGCGCTGATTTGACCAATGTGCGGGAAGTTTTTATTTTGTTGTTGTTGCTGTTGTTTGTTGCTTCTACTTTGGATATTTCCGGCAAATTGCTGCCAATAAGCTTCATTTGGATACGTTCCAGCTTCAGTGGATGTAAGTCTTAAAGCAGGTGAGCCTGGATTAGCACAGTGTTTTTTCAATCCGGCGCCAAAAGACACTTTGGTGGATGAAACCTCAAATGCCTGGCTTGTATGTATCGGAATGCTTTTATAGTAAAAATCCGAACTTGAGAAGGGATTAAAGGTGTCAAATACCCGCTCAATTTGCTGCTGAATAGAACTTACTACTCAAACTCCACTTACCGCTTTGCCAATGCCAACAGATATTCACTTGTAGTAAATTGTGCACATTCTATTGGGTGCAGTGAAACGCCTTAATTATCGCCACTTTAAATTCATTCGGCTAATAATAATAAAATAGAAGCAGACCAACCGACGGACTTTGAATCACCAATAATTAATACAAAGCGGATATTGAAACTGCCTTGCAACCGACAGGCAAACACTACTAATTCACAAACTTAACATCGCGCCGCTTGTGTATTCACTAATTATGTTGTTAAATGATTTATTTGATTGGAAAATTTTGCTCCTCTCGCACTTGCACTAAAACGTTGGTGCGGGCAAACAACATAAATTGCCAATATATCAAGCCTTTTCCACTGCTCGTAGGCCTCAGATATCTTCATCTGGCTGCTACTCCCTTATCAAACGGGAAAATATTAATTACGCAGCCGACTAAGCGCATAAATGATAAGTTAACAATTCAGCGAGGGCTTTATGTTAACTACACCCTTAATAAATCTTTGATTTATGATTTATCTTCATCTGTCTGAACATGTACGTTCTCTCCTTCGGGCTAATCGCTTCTAGAACAGAAGCCGAAGGAGAAGTCTTTGTTGAAGCTAATCTAGTTTGTTTGAGGACGTTTTGGACGCGTGTTCAAAGCAGGGGCGGATCCAGAAAAAATACAGTCTTCTGTTTTTTATGAAATTAGAAACATTTTATATACTTTCCTGACTCTGTTTCAATTCCAAATCAAAATTAATTCCTGGGTTTCAGTCATTTATTGTCTTTATTTATCAATTAAAATACGTTTCGGTGTATTTTTCCGCCATCATCAGTTTTTACGTGTAGCGTTGTTGCTGCTTTAAGCCTTGGCATACATTTAGAGTATTGAGAATGGAGAAAACACCGAAACGTATTTTAATTGATAAATAAAGACAATAAATGACTGAAACCCAGGAATTAATTTTGATTTGGAATTGAAACACATTCAGGAAAGTATATACAAATTACTCGTAATGAAATTATCTTTAAAACGCTTTTTGTTTCATTAGTATTTTGTCAAGGGTTCATAAGTGCTAAAGGTTTTTGTGTGTAGCGCTTTTTTCTGTGTCAGTCCATAATTGTACATCAATTGCACATAACTACACTAAATATCAACGTTCCTTAGTGATTTCCAACGGTTCCAAAATATTCAATAGAGCCGCAAATTTTCGGAATAATTTGCCTGATTTTTTAGAGCAATTGGCCAAGCTGGTACTAGTGGTTTAAAAAGGTATTTGTTTA